ATTGTTTTTATTATTAAAGATTCATTTTAAAAGTTAGTTTCTGAAATGATCAGTTACACAAAAAAATATAAGCTTTCTTCAAAAACACCAAATGCACAGAATAGTGAATCTCTGTCTACTCATAAATTTCAATCATACTTGTTTTAAAAAGCTAGTTAATGGTGGTTACAGAGACATTTTTACACATGTACGATTTAAACGAGTTCCAATGATCATACATTCAAAGAGGGATAAATTTAGCCCCATGGCAAGATTATGGGCTGTCTAGGATAGTGTAGACGTCTTTTGAAAAGTTTCAAATGCTTCCGTATGAGTAATCAAGACACCAGTTGCTCTGTTTATCAACTTTTGTATGTCTTGGAGTGTAGTCAAATTTCTATTTAAACACCCTATTCTAAGCTAACTCATTTGTGGTAAATTAAGTGAAAATAGTCGGGAGGGGGGGAATGGGAGACAGAATACTACTGATATCTAGAAATGATATTAAATTTTAACTCAGAACTCTAGAATAAACCTGTTTTATCTCCAACCCGTTTCGTCCTTTAAAAATTAGCAGCCTGAGGTTTTTTAGTATGCTTATGTTTATAACTCATAATAAGTACAGAAAGCTTCAGGTTATTGCAAATGTTACAGCTTTTACTTTCCGCAGACAGGAAGAAACAAGTTTCACTGAATAAACTTGATATCTACAAAACTGTCCTCATGCATATTCTAGTTAAGTAGCACTTTCTAGAATTAGCAAATCAAATTTATCACATTCGAGTTACTATATGTAAAGTAATCTAGTATAGCAGGTCAAATTATTCAGTGTCAAAGAGTAATAGCTAAAATAGAATAAAATTTCAAAAATTTGAAGATATGTTTTTAATGATTCACGTTGGTTGTAGCAGGTTACCGACAATATGCGGTTACATTTTCGAACTTAAGGAACCATAGTGAAAGTACATCATTAAGTTTATGAAAGCTTCTTTCTGTGTATGATGAATTATGTCTGCCTCCTTATATAATACGTGGAGCTGAAAATGCAGTAATCAACATCATCAAACGACTAACTGATTTCAAGTGATTTGTTTCTTAAAACAGTTCGAAAAATTAAATTGAGGCATTTTCTAATTTCATTGGGATTCTTCTGGTTGAAAAAACCGAAGTATCTGTATTATAACGTTGATATCTGCTATATTACTAATAAGGAGTTTGAGGGTTGTATTTACCAACAGATTAATAATATTATTATCCCCTTAGCTTCACAGGACTCCAACAACCCATCTCCATCTCATCCTGCTGTCTAATGTCCTTTTTAGCTCTCACCTGCTCGTTACATGATCTCCTCAACGTCACTCTCAGATTAAAGCTCAATTTGTCTTTTCTTATATCCGTTTCACTTGAAAGCTGGCCTGGCGTACGATGTCACTCAACGATGGTCTCCTCAACGTGTCCAGTTCATATCCATTTCCTCTTTTGCATATCTGTTGGGTAATAAGTGCTTGGTTGGCTCACCACAAGAGTTGCTTGTTGCTAACCCTTGCTGACAGGGTCATTTTGTCTTCAGCAAGAAGCGAAAGTTATGGTTGATAAAAGTTTGCACTAGTTGTAAATCTCTGAATAATGTAGAAGAACTGACTTGACGTTAGTGCCGAAGACCTGAATCTTATTTCTTATACTGAGAGCAATTGATTCCTAAAATGATTCCAGATTAATAAAAATTTATCCTGCACAACCGATTTTGTCTATCTTTGATATTCTCATGATTGGGAAATGCTTTTTATTTCATCCTAACAGAGTATACTGAAGTCATGACAAATTAGTTGTTTTTGTTTTAGAATATATATAAATACGAAACAGGAAATAAAACCATTTGATTGTAAAGATGTATATACGTGTATCATAAAGATTCTTTATCCGTTTTGGTCATTTCAGTTTGATATTTTTTAGGCATAAATAGACGCATTTAAGATTGTTTAATGCAGATAAGCTTTATTTTACAAATATAAAATTTCAATAATAAACAGAAGTGGGCTAAGTAAGCATAAAAGCTAAAGTACTTCCTCGCTCTCTCTTGAAAAGTGAGACACAATACGCTTTTGTTTACAAATAAAAATTTAATAAAAGTTAGTGTGATGAAATACAAAGCATTCACTGATCAGAGTATTATATTTCATCCTTCATAATAAAGTGGGTGTATACGCTATGACTTTTATATACGGCGAAAAGCTGATGTGATTCATTAATTTAGGCACTATGGTTTTTATGCAAAGGGTTCAGGCTTAAGAATGAAGTTCTATCAAAGCTGACTTTGTTAACTAGGTAGTACTGTGAACAGTAGTGTGGGGATGAGATGAAACCTTATAGGCAAACGTGGAGCCGGCTAGAAAGCAATACAGAGGACAGAATAAATTGTGAATGTGCTGCTAAAGCCCTGTGTTCTATTCGAAACCCAAGGAAAAATAATGATAATAACTTGTACAGTCAAACGATTAGTTTGATTAGTAATCGAATGAAGTAAGAAAACAAGTATGTAAACTATTTACTGAAAACAAAACGCTCAGATGCCCTCAGGATTGATTTGACACACAGACTTTAAAAACAAAGAAACTGTGAACATGTGTTTCACTTAATCTTTAGATTTCTTTATTCCATATCAGTTCTTAGACTTGAAATCGTCATGTTTTCTGTAGTGTTTGAATTATTAATTAGACGGAAAGGGTCGGAATCTGACAATTTGTGATTTCCATCTTTTGAAAGCGTATTAAAGATTGTTTGTTTCAATGCAGCAAGCAAAGTAATACATTAAAAGCAGACTGTAAATCCTCCTGCCTAAATATTGATTCATATTTGAAATGGTGATTATTGTCAGATTGATTATCATTTATTTGCAATAAGCAAATCATTCCCACAAGCATTGGTGGACATTGCAGGGAAGGAGTGTGAATCTTGTGACATTAGTGACTGAATGACTGGTTTCAACGTAGAACTTTGAACAGAAGTACAGCAGTTCAAAATACAACACCCCCCAGACATATGAGGCAATCACTAGGCATGCTTAACACATGTCCTAACCGTCTCAGTCAGTTTGACTTCACAAACTCGTCGATTGATTTTCCCCAGCCCTTACTTACCTAGTACTGGATGCCCAACCTCAATATTGCTCACCCTATTATGCCACCACGTGACACGGTAGATAGAACGCAGACACCTACGATCAAAACAGATAGCCTTTTAATGTCTTCAACTTTCAATGATCACGTCTCACAATCATTAAGAAGCACAAAGCGAACTGACGAGCAGTACACACGTCTTTTGATCGACAGCCGGACATCACATCTACTATACGTGTTGTATACGTGTTGAGATTTCGTCAGAGATCAAACTGTTGGGGCTGATGCCACTTCCCAAATAAGTAAAATGGTCAACGTGCTCTACCACCTCACGGCGCATCTTTAAGCCAAGAGTCAATATAGCCAAGTTCCTTAGCATCAACTTACATTTGGCGTAAGCGAACCGCATGCTAAATATTCGAACATTTCTGCTCAAGGTATTTATAAGACTCTCCATTTCGTCAGGAAGAAGGAATATATTATCTGCATACTCTGAGTCAACGAGGTTGTCCCCTGGTTACAAGTCAATCCCTGAGTCGCTGGAGTCAGTTAAGGTTAAGCCCATTAGTACATTTGTAATGAAATCAAACAAAAGTGGGGACAAGAGGCATCCCTGATGGACACCACCGATTGTCATCACTTATGATGACAGCTATCTGTAAGCTCTCACCTGGTCGCCTGCATGAGTCGGAGTAGAGTGCCTTGATCAGTGAGAAGTATTTTCTCGGCATTCCATTTACAGCCAAGGATCGCCATAGTACCTCTCGATAGACGGAATAGAATGCTGCATTTAGGTCAAGACATATGATAAATTGTTGAATGCCCGTAAGTATGTCGTTATTCCAGAATCTGTCGGAGGGTAAAGATATGATCAATTCACCCTCTTCCTGGTCTAAACCCTGCCTGGTTTTCTCGTGTTTGTTCCTCTCGTGGACCGCTTAGCCTACACAATATTATTGAGTCTAGAACGTTAGATACCATACTAGTCAAGCTAATCCCTCTGTGATTATCACAAGAAAACTTGTCCCCCTTCTTGTTTATCGGGATAATCAATGGTTCACACCAACCTGATGGGACTTCCTCTGATTCCCAGACGCTTTTTAGTACCTCAGTTAACGCAGACAGTAAACTGTCTCCACCGTACTTAAACACCACTAGAGTCATTCAATGAAGTCCCGTTGCTTTGCCTCGCTTCATACTAGTGACAGCTTTTGTAACCTCAGTTAGAGACCGAAGACCTGTGCCTTTATCCCAGTCAGGGAAGCCTGTTTTAATGTTTAGATTACCATCATTTCAATAACTGCAACAGAACACTGTAAGACTGTTAGAAGTTCAGTAAGTTGACTTTTTTTCCTTCACGTTCCCCAATGGAGCATAGGGCTTCAAGCTAGTGGCTTGATGTTTCTGTAGTAGTGTTTATTTTACAGGATGGGGGTTGCTGGCCTCATGCCCAAACTTTCCTCTTTACCAGCATTACTTTTGGTTTAGCGAGGTGAAGGAGTGCATAGGCCAGGGATCGAACCCTGGACCATGTGCATGGTCGACGAGCGTCCTAATCGGTATGCCACCGACTCCACAGTAAGTTGAAGACTACTGAAATTAAGGTTTTAATCTATGGAGAAGTAACATTACCGAGATAAATACTACTGTAAATTTTTTCATAAATGATTTTTAACCTTTACACCAAAACTGGTTGCTTATTAACGAATACACAAAAACCTTCATTTCGATACTAGTGGGTTGAAGTGCGGTTAACAAGAGGCTCAAGACATATGTATAGACAAAGTTAGTGTTATTCAGCAAGGCGCATCTGCAAGTTCTAAGGTGCTGATGTCCTTTTAGATATTTCAACTTTCATCACACGCAGTTTTTCTTATTAAATTTAACCACAAAAGCAAAACTCACCCGATAAATTGGACATCGATCACTCAGTGTAGAACTCCCACCATAAAAAGGTACTTCTGAATCAGCAACTCCATCCAAACGAGTAAAATATTGATATTCTGGAGGAACTTTATCCTTCAAACGTCTAAGATCACAGTAACCGTATGCTTCATCATAAACTAAACATTTTATTTCATTGGCTGAAGCCTTATTGCAATAAGGTGTTAATGGCCTGTTCCTAAAATAGAAGAATACATTTAATTTCTGATTAGTGTTATCATTGTTGAAAATAAAGTATGTTAGCTTTATAAGCATAGCTTTCACCAATACTCTTTACATCTCTGTATCCTGAATGAAATGAAACGGGACTGTTGCATATCCTGCGGATAGCATTCATCAAAAGGCAGTGTATTATGAAATCAACCTTTGACGTAATTCTGAGCTTAAGGTGTCCTTATTGTGAATTCGAATAGCAGTTAAATTCTAGTGAAATTAAACAATATTATTCAAAGCATTAACAATAGAACTGTAAGTTAAATTCTGAAAATCTTAATCCTGTCGTATGTGAGCATATAAACGTTTTTTGTCAAGAAACATTTAATATTCACTACATTTAACCCATGTTTAAGCTATCCAGAGAACTTGATATCGTATGAAGAATGCAACACAGGATTGTACTCCGTTTTTTTCTAATTTAAATTAACTGGTGACATTGTATTCCTGATAATCAAAGCTCCCCAGATCGCAAACGAGATGAAAAAATATGGAATTCAAATACTGGGAATATGCGAAAGCAGATGGAATGGGAGTGGACTCACCAAATTGTCCTCGGAAGAGTCGATCACCAAAGAGGTGGAGCAAAGCAAACACTGCGTTAAACACTTCAAAAGACTTCTCAATCGACCGCCACCTACAATACCAACAACGGAAGCAGAACTACCAGTGGACATCAACCCTCACACGTAAACGGAAATCCTGAAGTCAATAAAGATGCGAAAAACTGGAAAAGCAGCAAGACCAGACATTGAAAATGGACCCCGAGATATCAGCGGACTTGATGACACCACTGCTAGAGAAGGTATGATGAAAGTTCAAGGTACCCAAGGACTGGAAGAAAGGCTACTGATTCAAAACGCCAAACAAAGGAGACTTAAGTCAATACAAGGGCTGGTGCGGCGTTATGCTTCTACCTATCCCAAGCAAAATGCTGAGCCGCATCATTCCAGAGAGAATCAAACACGCAACCCTGGGTGAAAAACTTCGACCGGAACAGGCTGAATTCAGGAAAAACAAGTCATGCATTCATCAAATAGCAGCACTACGTATCATAATTGAACAGAGCTTGAAATGGCAGTCAGCTCTCTATCTCAACTTCATTGACTTCGAAAAGGCCTTCAGCAGACAGTGTCGATCTAGAGGTGATTTGGAAACTACTTCGCTACTACATGGTGCCGCCAACAATTAACCATCTCATCCAACAGTTGTATGACAATGCTGCATGCCAAGTAATCCACCACGGGAATCTCACAGAATACTTCGAAGTGAAGACGGCAGTAAGACGAGGCTGGCTGGCTGCCGACTATCTCCAGTGATATTTCTGATTGTGGGCGGTAGACTGGATAACGCGATAGACAGTGGCGGGTAACGAGGAGACAGTTATAAAATGGACCCACACGAAAAACTACTTGGAGGACCTGAACTTCGCCGATGATATTTGTCTGATTTCCCATAAACCGGAAGATATGCAAGTAGAAGCAAAAAGTTGACAGAAGAAGCATCAAGAGAAGACAAGACTTCAGTTGAACATACAGAAGCTGGAGACAGAGGTGATGAAGATTCCTGGCCAACAGCAATGGACAACAATCAGCATAAGTGAGACAAATCTGAAAGAAGAAGTTTCTTTACCTACTGACCTGGGAACCACCGTTTCAACTACAGGTGAACGAAACCGACGTGGATATCAAGGTGAGGATCGGGAAAGCAAGGCAAGCTTTTATTTCTCTCTAGTCTGTGTAGAGGTCAACATCACTCAGCATGAAAATGAAAATAAGATCTGGATTTTAAACTCCAATGTGAAGTCAGTGCAACTCACTATACGGATCAGAGATGTGGCGGCATGCCACGAAGGGCACTTAGAACAAACTACAGACTTTCATTAACAGCTGTCTTCGCGCAATACTACTCAAGATGAGTTGGTTGGCAGAAAAGATTAGCAACAGAGATCTCTGGCAATGAACAAGCCAGCCCAGCAGGAATCGTATGTGCAATGAATATGCAGGAATAAATGGAGGTGGATTGGCCATACTCTGAGAAAACAAGCCATCAAGTGACATCACACGAGAAGCTTTCGAGTGGAACACGAACGGTAAGTGCCGAGTCGATAGTCCAAGAGTGACATGGAGGAGGTCATGTAAAGAGGAAATGAGAGAATGTGGGTAGACGTGGAGCCAAGTGAAAACGTTGGTGGAGAACCGAAACCATAGCTGAGTAGATAGTAGGGTCATGCAGAAACTAACTCAGAAAACAAACAAACCGAAAACCTACCGCCCAACAAATATGCAGAATTAAATGAAGATGGACTAGATCTATGCTGAGGAGGCCATTCAGCGACACTACTCTCTAGGCCTCCAAGTGGAACCAGAATGGTGAATGACGAGATGGGGACTGGTCAGTGGATGACATGGAAGAGATAAATGGGGAGAAGATGCGAAATTATGGTCAATCATGAAGCAGAAAATAGTATGAGGTGCAGATATGGCGTTGGAGCCCAATGTTTCACAAGGAACCCCAGAGAATTTTATGTGCGTTGTAAAAGTATACGTGTAATGACATATATATATATATACAGCATTAACATAAAATAAGCTGAATGTCAGAAAAATTAAGAAAGATAATATTACAAATTCATGAGTTTATAGGTTCTAATGATGGCCAGGGCAGTAGTAGGGGCTGGACTTGCTTCTTTTGAACACATAGCACTGGTTTTTTGAGGCGAATCGCAACAGCCTCTGCTGTTTGGAGCGTGTGGTGTTCCGATGATTTTGGCAATTCATTAGGCACCCGGTAGATTATAGAAAAGGATTCTTCCACGCTGGCTTTGTGGCCGGTTTGCACCAGATGGTCCAATACTAAACTGTTAGTGGTTTTAACTACACCTTTACTTAGCCATAGTGGGAGATGTTCTCGAGCACGGAAAATCGATTTCCTAGAGCAACAGCCAATATAACTCGCTCCATAAGCCCAGTTGAATTGATAGATACAATTTGAAGTGGCCAGCTAGTCTAGGTACTTCATCTTTCAGTTGAGGTAGCACCATCGGTTGTTTAGAGAATAAGAACTGTGGTTCGCCAGCGTTAAAAGTTCTTGGAACTGATTTTCATAATTTCCTCATAATTATCTCACTTGGTATATCGCCCTTGAATGGTAGTCGTATATAAAGTGGCTTCTTGTTTACAGACAGTGAGTAATCCTTTTCCGCTTTCTTTGTCATGTGTTTCTTGATAAATTTGTCGGGATAGCTATTTTCGATCAAAGCATCATATGCAATGCCTTATTCATCTTCAATTACTTCTTCTGAGCATAAAGCTCTAACTCTGTGGCTGAGGGTGTTCACTAAATTTCTTTTGTACTTGATAGGAACGAAGCTGTGAAAATGTTGGTTTAGTTCGCCTACTTTTGTCAACTGAATTTTTCGTAATTTTCCCAATGTCAGTATGTCTGCTGAATGTAGACTGATTCGAGTATCAAACTTCCAAGACTTATCCTAAATTCGCAGTATTTTCAACGTTTAAAATATTCACATTCTCCAGGTTCAATAGGAGTATACGGTTATGGTAATGTACTCATATGAAGGAATCTTTGACATTATTTTTGACTGTTAGTTTATGTTTTTTAGTACGAAGTCGAAAGTGACGTCCACTTAAAGCTAATATAGTCTTTCTCTTAGCTGATCTCAGGTCAAATAGGATGATCTATACCATATTAAGGAATTTCCCCTAAATAAATAATGAAGGCCGAGGTCACCGGAAGAGACAGTTATATTACTCATGGAGAATTCCAACTACAGTTGACATTGAAGATGTTATGAAAGGGGATTATCAAAGGACAGCAGTTAAACTGCCTAGCTCAGAGACAACAATCACACCAAACACATGTATATATGTTCTACATGATCTGGTTTATATATTTCATCCATGCAAAATTAGTTGTAATTATAAACCGTTTTCCAAAAACATAATTCATTTATTAAGCTAAAAATAAAGTTTTATTCATTAATAAGTACGTCTTTGCTAAAGAAAAGTCAGACGTGATTTAAACAGGATGATAAAAGCATACACTCAACAAGAAAAAGAACCTACGCTGCCGTTTTCATCAGCATATATTCATAACAACTCTTCAGCACAAAATCACACCCCCAGTTTTTACCATATTTCCAGTTATCAGCCATGGACATGTTCACATCGTACCACCTGTTGTGCATTTAAAGTAAAAAGGGATTATTAATAGACTATGAAGAAAAACAAAATTTAAATAATTAAGAATAAAAGAAAATTCGGTTTTTTTTTCGTAACTGTGAGAGTCATTATTTATTTTAAAAAATGGGTAATAGAACTGAAATTAATTATGATAAAGACTTCATCAAAGGCGTTTAAATTATGCTCTCCGAATAAATTAAAAGTAATTCAACAGATTTATGCTAAATAAATCACTAAATTTTGTTGATTCATGTTAAGCCTTTTGTAAAAAGCTACTCGTTGAATATCATTCATCATGGTGATCTTTATAGGGATTTAGTTAGTACCCCTGAAAACTAGGCAGAACTGGATATCTGTTTCGTCCTAATATAAAACTTTTAGTCAATACATCCAAATGACCCTACCGAGTAGAAATGCAGGTACATCCAGATGACGAGTCCCAAATAGGACGAAATGCGCATCCCGGATTCCACTGCTAGCCACCATCCACCAATTGTATAAAATCAAAATTCACTTACCAAGGTAGTGAGAGGTTAATCACACTCTCTTTCTGTATGCATAAGTCTGGTTTAAATCGTTTGACTTCAGTGTATTGTATGTTTCACTGTTGATTAGTTTCTTCATCAGAAGTTCTTTGAGACATTTATTTACTTTATTTTCAAACGAAGTTGTGGCGTCTTTTTTGTTGTCTACTTGTAATTTTTCTTTGTCGTTTAGAATTGTCATCGTTTTATGTATATAATCAACTTTGTTCAATATAACAACCCCAGAGCCTTTATCAGGTCTAAATATGAGGATTTCATCGTTCTCATATAGTTTCTTCAGAGCTATTCTATACTCTTCGGTTAGCATCTTCTGCTTTTCCATTGGCGATATGTAGTATTGGTTAGCAATATCAACAAGTGTAGACTTTAGTCCTCCTCATATCGTAGATTTGATGGTATCAGTTTTCGAATTGTACTTCTGTGTCTATACGACTGATCTGCTTCTTGGGGACGTGAAACTAGAGATAAGGCCTCTAATTCGATTTTGTTTAATTGTAATTTACTACGATTTACCAAAACGATCGCAATCAAACGATTTAAACCAGATTTATGCATATAAAAAGAGAGTATGATTAACGTCTGACTCCCTTGGTAACTGAATTTTGATTTTGATTACAATAATTAGTCAGCTAATTAAACGACCTCAACTCAATGAACAAATCTTAATCTCATAAACTGTAACCGCCTTTGTTTTTTGAAGTTGCTATGTGAACCTACAAGCTAACACTGTTCTGTTAATCATTTTTTTCTGTTTTCTGTCTTACCCCTCCCCCTCTTTTCAACTTTAAAGGCGTATAAATTGATGATGAAAACTTAAACTAAAAACTGTAATGCTTTCATTTTGGATGCGTCAATTTTATAGTATCTCTTCCCTACTACCACTCAAACATTAAAGTATGTTATTATCATTTATATAACCATTGTAATTTCAGGTAATCTGCAGCTGATGAGAACCTGTGAAATAGAATGATATCATTGTATAATGTTAAATTTCGTCTTTCTTTCGGTATCGAAATTTATCAAGGGAACCAACTGTATGAAAAGGATAGTTTTATTTATAACTAAGCCTAGAGTTTTACTGAACCTTCATTGTAACTGTGCTAAAAAAATATAATTTTACCCTGTATCTTTGAAATATGCCAGTGTTAAAGCTGAAATATACGTCTCTTTTGAATAGCTTCCTGACATTAATTCATCCTAAAATTGAAATTTAAAAAAATCATTAACTACAAGTGTTCATATAAGTAAATATCTGTATGGCTGCATGATAAACTGATCCTCAAAAGTCAGCAAAACATCGCGAAGTAAACGAAAACCATAAACGAATGCATTTCAAAAAGACAAGAAGCACCACATGCTCCAAACAGCAGAGGCTACTGCAATTCGCCTCAAACAAACAATGCTCTGGGTGCGAAAGAAGCAAGTCTAGCTAGCCCTTACTTCTGCCCTGGTCAGCCTACAGTAAAGACTATAAATTCATGAATTTGTAATATTATCTTTCCTAATTTTTTCTGATATTCAGTTTATTTTATGCTGATGCTATTGAGCTGTAATCTATCAATATTATTGATTCGATGTTATTTAAACAGCATTAATGTTGTTCACAACACTAATTCATTCATTCATTCACTATAATGTATATATAACTGTAGAACCTGATGAAGAACAGGTTATCGAAAAGAGTGTTCTTTGTTCAGTATCCATTCTTTTGAAAAATTTTAATGGGCATTTTTAATCAGTTAGAACTCAGTATGTTTCACAAATGAAATACTTCTCTTTTGCGAATTTTTGGTGTGTGCTACTGATAATGATTTACCAGTAGTATATAGATACATATTCACAAGAAGTAGGCAAAATTGAAAATAACACTCTTAGTCAGTACCTACAGAATTACAAGCGTTTATTTCTTAAATCTGAATCTATCCTTCGCTGTGGTCGGGAAATAATCTCAAGGTTTGACTTTCAAAAACCCAGCTGACCTAACCGATCATAAACGTCGCTGAAAATGCATAAATATGCTGCGTTTTCCTTAAATGAAAAAATCCGTTAACAAATGTCATATCTTCTGTATTTCAACATGTTGCCAGTATTCGAACCTGGGTTAAAGTGACTTCCGTTGTGCTCAGTATATGTTTTGTCACATCGTCTAGATCACCGATTTATAAAAGCTGTGCAGCGTTGATCAATTGTAATTGTTGAGCAGTTCGTTCTGGGACAGTTTTGACACTAAATGTAACGGGAGAAGACAAGAGAATTGGTAGCACACTTTTTTATTGAGGTAAAATACACCATATTTATACATTTTTAGAGACATTTATGATCGGTTAGGTCAGCTGACTTTTTAAAATTTAAACCTTGAAAATTATTTTTTGACCACAGCGTAAGCTAGATTCAGATTTGAGAAATAAACGCTTGTACTTCAGTTGGCCACTTCCTATGAATAAGCATCTGTACACTCCTGATAAGCCTTGTCATTAGAGCACGCTATAAATTTACCTCAGTAATTCTTTTTTCGAAATGAACAATTGCCGTCCCAGGGCCACCATCATTTTCAACATCCATTCCATCCAATGTCGGGCAATTGTAGTGAGCTCTAGCCTCTTTCTGTAAAACAATATAAAAGAGAAAGATTTCACATTTTTTGATTAAAATGAGTAGATGTTCGTAATTTCAATACATTAAAGTACATATCCCGACACCTAAGTTTCAACAGTCACATATACCCTTATTCAAGTGTTAATTTGCAGGGATTTATTTGATTTCAAGTTGGATCACTAATCAACAAGCAAGGAGTACTGTAAAGCTGTTTCCTGCTTGTTTTACACTGTTCAGCAGTACACATCCATGACCTCATCGGAGATATGGTGGCGAAATCACTTGTGAGGTGAGTCCGCTGACCGTCCAGCCACTGGAACAGGAACGAATGGACTATAAATTCTAACTTCTTCCAATTCACGATATTTAGTGAGCTGCTGCGTGTGTGTGTGAATGCTGTCGAAGAGTCCCAAACATGGACGAAACACCTCTCCAGTACTCATCAGTTTTCAATAGTTTCCAAAGTTAGTTCATGGTCTAAATGTTTATTTGTTAATAAAATATTCGACTTAACATCATAAAGTGAGACAAAGTCGCCAGTGAAATAACCGAAAATTTAAATTGGCTATACTTTTGAACTAATTAATACTGTCTTACATAAAGTTCTCTGACTAAAGCAAATACTGAAATGACAATAGCACTGATATAAATTGCAACTTACTGGACATACTCAATTACGAAAGCGTAGAATATTCCTTTTATTATTGTTTCGGTAATCAATCAAAAAGGGTTTTATTCAAAGCAATCATGTGCTTCATTTAACTTTAAAGATTAGATTTGATTGAAAACTAAGAAGTAGAAATAAGCCTTACAAGCAACAAAAATGGTGTCTGTCAAATACTCTTTTTCAACTTCCATTAATTTTAGTGAGTTGTGTAATTTATTAATTAATTAATATGAGAAAACTGACATTAAGCTTTTATTCAAGTATTGGTTTGTAGGGATTTGTTTGATTCGTTACAGGATTTCATCATGAGCTGGCATTACTTACAGAACCATTAGAAAACCTGCAGGGAGTACTGGACAGCTGTTTCGTCCTAGTTTGAGACTCTCAATGGTCCTGGGTTCGAATCCCGGTGGGTGCGTACTGATGAAAAGTCTCTAGCTAGGCTGGCGAAACGGCTGTGTAATACTTCCAGGTTTTCCAATGGTTCTCTAACCAATACCAGCTCATGATGAAATCCTGTAACCAATTAAGCTTTTATATATGACAAAAATATATATGCTGATTACTCTTCATTTGTGGAAGAATATAGCTACACTTTCTCCACACGGAGTTGACTTTCAAATTTGATCACTGATTGATAACGTTACAGAACCATTGAAGACCAGGGAGTACTCGACAGCTGTTACCTTCATAAGAAGATAAATACCCAAAGAACTAAATAATATAAGTCAGTTATTTTTAAATTTATTAAAAGGAGAGCGGTAATAGGAAATCTCTGAAAGGTGGACTTGAATAACATTTTAGGGGAGACAGCCAAAATTTTAAGTATAATACACTGTTGGGAGAATTTAACTCGCCTTCAACCACCGCGCAGCTGCAAGTCAACTAGCCCAAGCATGGGTAAAACATAGTTCATAGTTCTTCAGTTATTTTCAAAGTCGACAAAATTATCTTTAACATGAACGATGACAAATCAGCAGGCTAACATAGTCTTACTTCAGAAGTGCTCAAGAACGGCGGTAGAAGTTCGATGACAAGGATAGCTAAGGTCCTGGTTAATGTATGGGAACTCAAAGCAGTTCTATGAGACTCTATCTCTGTCACCACAGAGAGAGAACAAATATTTTTCGAAGGGTAACAGGCGAATAAGATTTAATACAGTATAATATTATAAAAGCTTTATCGTTTGATACATTTGTGCATAGAATACAGAATTTTCAACTAGGTTTCATTTAATCCTTATACAGAGTCTTCAAGTGAACCATTAATCAACAGTGTACCATTAGCCGGAGATTCCTCGACCTGAAAAATGCTCCAACTCACGATGTAGTTGTCCCTTCAAAACAGAGTAGGTGATATGCTGCGTGTCATTCAAAAATGCGACTGAGTACAGGTAGTCCTTCAAAGATAAAAACAGATGGTTAATCCCATATTAGTTTGTTTATTAGATGTGCCGCACAGTGAAACAGTATTATTTACTGGATGACAAGGTTTCGAACGAACTTTATTGTTCATAATCATTTCATCAATTATAATCGCACCACTTTGAAACTTGATTATATGGTTTTCTTTGTTATCTCCTATTTGTCGTGTTTGGGGTAGTAGAATTTTCGATGTCCGGATGAAGAGGTGTTGAATCATTCCTAATACACGTATTCACAGTTGATTCGATAAACACAGCTTCTGTTATCGATCTCTCCCTTCACCTCTTGCATTAGGTTTTAAAAATCTCATCTTAACCCCTTTTTTGTATAATAAATAATAATTTTTCCTTCACGTTCCCAGTGGAACATAGGGCTCCAAGCTAGTGGCTTGAAGTTTCTGTAGCAGTGTTTAATTTTTACAGGATGGAGTTGCTAGCCTCATGCCCAACCTTTCCTCTTCACCAGCTTTGTTTCTGGCTCAGTGAGGTAAAGGAGTGCGCCGGCCGGGGGTCGAACCCCGGACCATATGCATGGTCGGCGAGCGTCCTAACCGCTATACCACCGACGCACCTTTTGTATAGTTGTGTTTAATTGCATGTAGTGCTATAGCTTAACTGTTCTCAGATGGTTAAGAAAAAGTAGAGTTGAGAAAATCTGACCCATTATGTCCTGGAAAAATTAGGTAGTACAAAGATTTAATAAGGTAGCCACTATATTGCAGTATCTAATATCTTATGTTTAGTAAGAATAAGTGAAGTTCAAGATTTTGAGCGTTCATCAGAGCGCAATGACTTTATCTGCATTCTTGTATATTTTTAATGACCATTCATATTAATTTTCACCACGAAATGTACATTTGTGTGAATTTACCTGACTTTGATGTGTGAAGAATTGAGTTTCAACACTCACAGGTCATGATGACCTAGTGCATGTTGAGACGCAGCATTATGGGATCAAGATGTCCATGAAATACACTGCCCTTTGACTGCTAACGGCGAAATCACTAAAGCACGCAGTATTTTAAAAATAGACACTGAAGTGGTTGAATGCTATTAATCACTTAAGTGACTTGGAAAATCGTATCAACCAATCGTCGTTTGCTGTTACTTTCCTATGAAAATGGTATGCATTTACCTATTAAGAAGCAATATAGGCAGTCTGTAATTGAGTTCACTTTTAAATTATCAACTCTATTGGCCTGTTACCTGTATTATGGGGCAGTAAAATGGAAGATAAAGTGTAGATTCCTAATCAATTGCAAAAGCAGTTCCTCGAAGATCTTTTATAGAATATGTTTCCAAACCTTTCTTGACAAAATTCTACACTTTTATTCATCTGTGAGTTAGGGTATAATAGCAGTGCACCTGAGGAAAATGTATAGCCTTCTATTTACACAAATCTCCTAACATGAAAATGTGTTCAAAAGAATTTAAACTTATTCTCTTAATTTTGTATAAATTGCCTTAAGACACTAACTGATCACTGTGAAACTCAATGGCATTTGAAATAGAATGGAAACTAAATTCTGTTCTAAACACTATAGACACTTCATAAAATTAAGATGAAATATTTGCCATAGATTTAAGAAAGTAGTAAGTGACCACCGAGATCATCCATCTGTATGTCTCCATCTTAATACACTTTTAAAACACACCCTAGTGGTTAGCAATTACACTTTCACATATCTTGCATCTCTTGAGTCTTCTGGATTTCTGAAACGCAGTTTGACCACTTAGAAAAGAATGCATCTTAACAACATACCGATAGTTATTCACTTACAACACACTGATAAGTATAGTCCATCTTTTCTTAGTTTACGGAAAGCAGCTTGTTTGAGTGAGCAAACGTTTTTGAAGACACTCATTTTTAATTGTTTCAATATGCATATGATGATTACTGAGAATACATACTAAGTATTACGCTAATTTTAGTTGTATAAGTTTTGCTCTTATCTACTCATTGTAACGGCTACTTCTTCATGCTTTTTTTCATTATATTTTTCACAATCTACACCAATCGCACCTATTCTTGCTACTACTGATACTATCGTTATTTACACTAGCATTACCAACAATATATGCCATTCATGGCATAATTTATAATATTATGCATTAGTAACCTCTAAATTCTCATCGTTACTTCATGCTCCATACACACACTTAGAGTTATGTATATTACAAGTAAAGTTTGAGGACGGTATAATTTGAAGGAAGCACTGCTCAATAACATGTTGTTGTGTTATTAGCCTTTTGTATTCCATACCCTTTATATTAAGTTGATTATTTATTTTATGCTATCATTCACTTATACACTTAATGCTTTAGCTATGTTCCATTTCAAGTGTCGACCGCATCCAACAAAATGTGAAAACACTTCATCGTGTAATTATGCTTTTTTCACATTTTGAAATAAAGTTCATTTCTCTATACGTACAGCTAATAATATGTTAAAAAATTGTAATTATGACTTGGAAAGCAAAACAGACATTATCCTCTTCATCAGCTTTGTTTCTGGCTTAGCGAGGTAAAGCTAAGCCAGAAACAAAGCTGGTGAAGAGGAAAGGTTGGGCATGAGGCTAGCAACCTCATCCTGTAAAATAAACACTGCCACAGAAACTTCAAGCCACTAGCTTGAAGCCCTTTGTTCCACTGGGAACGTGAAGGAAAAAAATTCCTCACACAAATATCTTATAGTGAGGTTTAAACTTTTATCTGATTTGATCCTTAAAACAATGTGATGGATGATCCTACTATTTACTGATCATAAAAATAGATTTGTTAAATTATTGTCTTAACACACAAGAAGTAATTGATTTCGTTTGAAAGTATAACAAGTAAATCCTATTCCATGATGTTATATGGTACATAGTGACTATCAGTACAATCCAGAAACAAAACTTTCGTCCTAACTTGGACTCGTCGGTCAAATGCACCTACAATTCTAATAGGATCCCGCATAATGTAGTATACCATCATTTCTTACAAATGTTGGGATTAATTATGCGATCGATCATTTTCACGGTTGTAAGACCAGCTCTGTTGTTGTAAATACCATGTTTTGTTTTCCTAATAATTGTTGTGGTTGATTACTATATACAGTCACAGGTCAACCTTTGTCTTTTGACATTTGCGTGGATCAGTGAATCGGAAGGCACAACAGGCAAAATACGCATATTAGGCAGGCGCCAACAGACCAAAGTGAGTGAGGTTTTCATGCAGTTCAGTATCAGTTATAACAAATCCCCAGTGAGTAGTTTCACCTACTGCAGCTCTACTCTAACACCCATCGTATTAAACATCAGGCGTTTTTCACAGAGCCGTTTGGGCCACGATAGTCACATCTTGTGCCGAATAACAACAAAAACATAACTACATAACATAAAATCTGTTGCACGTGAAAGAGAAAATTCAATAACTGGTTAGTTCCAAATTTTACAGAATACATATCAAATAAGAAGAAGTTACTGAAACCAACGTCTATTAAAATGTAAGTCAATGAATAGACAAAAATGCTTATTCCATTGGATTACTAGCCAAAGAATTTGGTAAAAATAGGGCATAGAAACAGAATACCGCAGTCACTACTAAGTAGTATTATTAAATGTAGGAATGAATTCAAACTAGTAATAAAAATGAAGTTGAAACCTATCAGCTGAAGTTGTAAGGTGGCTTGAAAACAGTCTCTGTATTTATTTCTCTTCAAAAGTTGAGATAACTCCAGTAAGTGTTACTCGTAATTAATCAGTAAGTTTAGTTTTCTACTTACAAATAGATCTCACTGAATGACAGAAACATTTAATGGTAGCATTCTGAATAGAACTTAAAATCTAGTTGAGAGGTGATGCTTATCAACCAATTTGAACCTGAATCTTTACTTCAATAACCAAGATAATCCGCTTAAAATATCATAACAACAGGGGTGTCGTATAAATTCATAGATAAAGAATTATTTAAACAAATTTGTGTATTCCACATGTCAAAGGTATCGGTATTTAACAAAAGTTTCAGTGATATCGGAGTCATCATTTAAGTAACATTCGAAATTCACCAATTTATCCAAAAAGTTAAATCCTCACTTTTCTTGAAATTCCCTTCTTTTTAAAACAAATATTCCACAATTTCTTCAGGAAAATTAATCAAAATTGAAAGGTTATTAGTGACACATCCTTTTTTATTTATTAATCAGGAATTGCCATGCATCGGCCAACATCACACCTTCACGTCTGTTCAAACTCCTGGGATTCACCCATATGTAAGTCTTCTGCAGTCAGTCTTTCTTTATACGAACTGAAACCTTCCTACAGAACCTTTGTTCTATCAAATTCTATCTTATATCCTGTTTCTGTCAAGTGCAGCGCAATCACCAATCTGTTTTTCTGGTTTCTTCAAGTCTGCAGAGGTCTTTGTAACCACCTCTAGACACTACTTAGGCTCCTTCACTCCTACATTCACCTATCTAGAAGTTCCCTGGACATATGGAGCGTCACAATCCCCACAGTTTATCCGGTACACGCAATTTAGCTGACTGTCTTCTTTTATTTTATCCCTTACCTTCACCAGTGATGAGCGTAAGTTGTCCGTTGCACAAAATACACTCATGTCATCACTGTTTTGGATTAGCTTTATTTCGACCGATGTTCCTTCGCGATAAGGAATCGCCGCTATGCTAACCCAAGTCTTCAGAACAGGTTTTGATTTATCCTTATCTTCGCATTTTAAGTATCTTTTCATGAAGGTTTTGTGTAAATTTGACAACACAATAAGAAGACGTAGTTTATCGGAAACGTGTAATGTACTTGTGCAATACATTTCGGACATTCTTGTCATACACAGTTTTTATAGAAGGCAAGAAGGCATGAATGATTACAATCTAGGTCACATTGTGTACAGGTCAAGGTGACAAATAATGAATAAAGATATGCAAAAGTGAGGTAAGAAAGATAAAAGGAGAAAAAACAAAGCAAAGAAGGGATAAAATGATATGAAGTAAATTGCACGTTGGTTCTAAACTGGATTAACAAGGCAGGTTTAAAGTAATAAAAAATAACTTTTGGGCACATAAGACGTCCTTGTTAAAGTCAACCCTATGACAAGTCTGTATAATGTGCTTCACTATAGATGATGTTGGGTCGATTGTGTCTGACGATTTTATTTGTTGTTGCAGCCACTTTAGTTATACTATAATCATTCATGACTTCTTGCCTTCTATAAAAACTGTGTATAACAAGTACGTGTGTGATCAGAATGTCCGAAGTGTGTTGCGCAAATACATTACACGTTTCAGATAACCTGCATCTTCTCATTGTGTTGTCGAAGTGCACAAAGCGAACTAACTACTTTAAATTTCATGTAATTATTTGATTCAAGAAGAGACCGAAGAGATAAAAAAAAGAACTAAAATTTGTCAGAATTACTATGGCATTACTTATTTTAATTTTCCTGAGATCTTAAAAATATGTCTACTTCTCACTTGATGCCCAATTATTTTGAAACTATTCGTTTAAATCCTGACCACAGTTCATATGAACTCTACCACTTCACTTCACATCCAACATAGATACTTTTGACATTTATTCATACAACAGTCTTGTTTAATGCATGACATTGTCTCTGACTTCATTTTTCAGCCAAAATATTGTCAGTGTGTCTTATAACACCAACTCAAGTTTGATGGTCAGACTTTAATTGTATGGAGGATTTCACCATGAGCTGATATCAATTAGAGAACCACTAGAAAATGTGGGAGTACTGGACAGCTGTTTCGTCTTAGTGTGCAACTCTTCATCAGCACGCACCCACCGGCAGGGTTAGAACCCAGGACTTTCTGGTTACAAGGCGAGTTCGTAGACCATTGAGCTACTGGGACCCGATACAATGGCTCTTGAATTCTAACTTCTGCCAGTTCATGACATAGCACGACTATTTCGCAATGTCTTCTTCGATGAGTTACTGGTTCTCTAAGTGATGTCAGCTCATGGTGAAATCCTCCATACAATCAAACAAAATCATTACAAAACCAATACTTGAAGATCAGACTTTAATCATAATAACAGACTATGTGACTTATTTTACACAGTAAATCATTACTCACCAATAGGTTTGGAAGGACAAAGGCACTGACCGTGCGTGTAGTCGTAGAAACTGCAGAAACCCAAGTGCGTTGAAAGGTTCTAATAGTTGATGTACTTAAAACAAAAATCAATGAAATAACATACATATATATATATATAAGCTTTACTTATGTTTCGACGTTCTTTGGGCTTGATATTTCTTGTACATAATTCTGAGAATACTGATGTGATTACTACTAATTATTACATCGATCTCAAAAGGAGTCATGTTTTATTTTGTTAACAGAAAAGAAATTTTTCCAATCTTAATAGGTTTTCGAAAATACAAAAACTAAAGTTTTCTCTAGAAATGTTGTTACTAAACCTTGTTACAGGTAGAAAACATGAACAAAACTTGTCAAACAGTACTCAGAGATGACGTGAATTCAGTTCGATTTTCTTTCGTGTATACTTGAAATAGTGCGTCGGTGGCGCAGAGGTTAGGGCGCTTCGGAGCTCGATCCCTGACCGACGCACTCCTTTACCTCGCTGAGCCAGAAATAGTGCTGATAAAGAGGAAAGGTTAGGAATGGGGCTAGCAACCCCATCCTGTAAAATTAAACATTGCCACAGAAACTTCAAGCCACTACTTTGAGGCCCCATGTTCCACTGGGAACGTGAAGGAAAAAAATACTTGAAATAACCCTCAAACTCAGAGTTACTCGTAGTCTATCGAAAAATGACTAAAAGCGACCAGCTCTTTACTTTGAATAACTGCAAAAGTCTTTTGTAACTAACACAACCAATGAAGTCTTCATAAAATGAATCTAAGTCGAAAAGAAGAACAGGTTTTTAAAAAAAAACAACCATTTAAGTAGGAAATATCATCTTCCAATTTACCCTTTCTCCTTATAGCAGCATTATTTTAACATAGTTCAACTGAAAGATAATTGTCTGCAACCAGCATTTAAACAGTGCCGCAGTCAGACAAGGTCAACGTGTCATCTAAGCAACTCACAGTTACCCACAGCCTCGATAAAATATGACACAGTTTTATCAAACATTAGTTCTAATTAACAATAACAACAGAAAACCCATACGTTGCTAAAATAGGTTGACATAACAACATGTCGTGTACATGCAGTGCGAGATATCAAATAGCTACTTTTAAATTTCAAGTTTTAAAAATCTAGTCAGAATATTTATGCCAGATTGTGAATAAAAATGGTTTCTGTCTCAGAAAAAAAGAAGACAATATCTTCACATACCTTGCTATAAAAATAAAATCAGAATCCTGACCAAGTGCTGGTAAATCAGTCTGTGGATCTCGTGGTGTTCTTGGATTACCATTTTCATCACGCAGAAAGGCATAGGATGTGCTTGAAAAACCCTATGAATAGATAACAATCAAAATAAATCTGAGGCGATGAAACATGGTCAACTTTTATACAAAAAATTGTCTAATTTACATAGTAGTAAAATAGTACACAAGTTTAAAGCGCACTATGCACCATCCAGGTAGAATTTCGTCTTTATAAAAGGTTTGACTGAAATTCATTCCGGTATTTCGCTTATCATCTCCTGTTATTATTATGCAACCAATAGTAAATGATTGAAAAATCGGTACTGACAAACACTCTGGTAATTTTTCATTATGTCACTATGCATTATCAGGAAAGATGTCTTATCAAATCTTGATTGTTTAAATTAGTGTTTTTACTTAAGTAGAGACGGCCAGGGAAATAAGAACCACGTAGAGCAGATACTCAAAAAGTAAGATGTATACATCATTAAAAGAAAGACGCGACAAAGCTGAAATCCTACATTGTTTATTTCGAAGTACTTTGTTGATACAAATGATAATCATTGATATAAGTATAAAACTTGGGCACTGTGGTAGAGTATAACTCCATTATAGATAAGATTTTATTCTTATAAATCACACAGTATCATACAGTAATATTTTTGCTGGTCACGTTTCGAGGACAAACTATTACTGCTCACAATCATATCAAGGCACTCACACAACGTTTTGCTTGAAACTAGTCAGACATTTGAATAAAAATCAAAATGGGATCATGTTGATTCAGAAATAATAATATGAGTTACAGGATTTCATCATGAGCTGACATTGTTTACAGAACCATTGGAAAACCTGGGAGTACTGGAAAGATGTTTCGTCCTTGCTTGGGACTCTTCATCAGTGCGCAACCATCGGGGTTCGGACCCAGGACCTTCTGGTTACAAGGCAAGCGAGCTCATAGACCATTAAGCCATCGGGACCCAATCCAATGGCCCATGAATTCTAACTTCTCCCAATTCACGATATAGCGCAACCACCAGCCAATGTTTTCGGCGATCAATCAACCAAATTCCTACAAACCAAAACCTGGATAATATGAGTGTTATTGATCAAATAGAATCAGATGGGAAATAAGACGATTGTCTTTACAGTAAAAATAAGTAACTTGTTAGAATGTTATGATGTACATGAAAATTGAAATAGAATTTTAAAATTATTTATTATCCTATTCTGATTGGACTGACTGGTGCTAATAATATCTTTCATATCTCTGGTATTTGCATCGAGTGATTTCTATTGCATGTATTGTGTGTAAACTCACTGAACCACCTACTTATATTACTTTTTAGAATTCGAATCCTCTTCCACCCTATTGTATGATTGTATGTTAATGCATGCAGTGCAATTGCTGAGCTTTTTTCTAAATTACTTATAATAATCATTACTTATAATAATTACTTGTGATAATTATTTATATAATAAACTGTAAACTATGGAGCAATTTTATTGAGGTATGCAATTTCCCTATATTCCATTGCACTCCAAGTGTAACATAGGACTTCAAGACTTCACTTATGAAGTTTCAGTAGTCGTGGTGCCTTTATGAGGTGCAAATGCTTGCAAGCTGCTCTCTCAACCAGTCTTATTACTAGTTAAGCAGGATATTGGAATGTATCAGCCAGAAATCAAACCAAGATCACGTGTGTGGTTTACCGGTATTCTACTACTAAACCGCTGGTGCTCATCGTTACATTCAGCTCACTGCTATCGACATACGTTATTGCAAAAGCTGATATAAGAATAATTTTTCACTGATAAAATATGTTTTCATTACACACATCTTTGGTATTTAAAGTGTTAATATTATGAAATAGACATAGTGTGTGTGTGTGCATTTATAAGTTCCGATTATTCAGTTTTTGCTCTGTTTACTTATATATAAAAGGAAGTGACCTCCAAACAGTATAGTATTTATAATTTTATTCAATATCACTTTATATATTTTCAAATAAATACCATAATTCAAAACTTAGAACGTATCCATTAAGTTATTTGTTAGAAGGCGACTAGCAGTGGAATTCAAAATGCATATTTCGTCCTATTTGAGACTCTTCAACCAGGTGTATCTGTTATTCTCAAAAAATGCTGATGATCCCACTAGAACTTGAATCCATCGTTTCAAGCAACCAGAAATTTCTTTCCGATATAATCAAGCAATGGGAGATACAAAAATACAATTAAACATATAGTAAATGGTACCCGTTACATTAGGGTTACTCTTTTAGTTGAATTGGCGTTTGAAACGAGGGTACTGGATTGAAATCTCAGTGGGACGGTGAAGAGTGGAGGTACATCCAGCTGACCAGTCTCAAATAGAAACAAACGAGCATCCTTGAGTCCACTGCTAGTCATCATGCATTAAATAACATCACAGCAGTCCTCAGACATCATGGAACCGTCCGTACTAGGAGCAGACTTGTCAAAAAGACGGGGTATTTTGGTTCAACATAATAAATCAACAGGAAATACAAAATTCGTTTAAATTACAATTTATCCGTTTGTTTAGTTTAATAAGATAATCATTCAGCCATAATAATTTGTCCACATGTATGGTTCATAGAGGTTATACTATCTACTGAACTGCCAACAAGTGGAAGAAAAGCTTACGCGTAGTTCAACCGTAAGCCAGGCATCCTAGATTTTATATGGGGCATGTGAATCATGTGTCTAAGTTTTATATTATCGCCTTAATCAAATTTTCAAATCCTTAGAAATTTTATTTATTTTGAACATTTGCAACCTCAATTCCTGTAATTTAGAAATGTATTGTAATTAGGCTACCTATTAAACGCGAATCATTCACCGGATTTCCTCAGTGAAAGTCATATAGAATCACATTGCAGAGGAAACTGAAAATAACAAAATATCCACCTTCAAGGTAAGTGAACCAAAGTGATCAAGTTTCAGATAATTTTCCAAAAGTAAGAAATTCCTGAATTTAAAAATCCTCAGGACATAAGATAGACAGTCTAGATTCACCTACACAAACCAGTACATTATTTAGTGACTTCATGAAATGACAGCACAAGTTTTTTCGGTCATTCTTACTTTATCACTTCACACATAAAACACAATCCATGTTATTAGGTATGTGAAAATTCCAAGTCTTATCAATCCCACAAAGTCATCATTCGATAAAAACGTAGTGAATCCCTGTGATTCTTTAACTTTGAAGGATATATCTCACAGCAGTAGAGTAGTTTGGTAGCAAGCCCGTGTTCAGTCAGTTACATAGACTGTACAGACAGGCGTGTTTATCGTCAAATTTGCGAACCCCATCCTGCTTAGATTTTGTTTGATTATAGCATGATTCCACACCGTATTTTTGGTACAAGTATGGAATTTTCAGCATGGATATCGGTAGCCCAAATTTTTCAGGCCGACCATTGTAGCTTTTGACTATGATCTTTGCACCCACAGAGTTCATCAAAATTAAATCAAGAATGAGGGAATACAGTACTATCTCGACCCTTGTTAACAGTTGCGTAAACACATTTTTTTAAATATTGTAAAGCTTAGAGATGGTTACAGCTGACATTTAATCAAAAACTTCGCCCTTTATTAGTTTGAATAAGAAGTATATTTCCGACAAAACTATACTCATAATATACACTGTCATAATTTAAAGTTTGAGAACTGTCTCAAAATATTAGGCCGTGAATGAAATCACTTAATTAATTTTGCTTCTAGCAGTGAAGGCGTGTCAGCAGTTAAATGGGAAGATTTTATTGTTTTATTGTAAGGACTATTATATAAAATTTTATCTAAACATTATTCAACCTGATAAAAAGGAGTAATAATTAGAAAACAACAGGATTAATACCACCATTTGTTATGCTTACGGTGAAACTTACCTCTCTCTCTCTCTCTCAAGGGAACATCGTAAATAGCTAGCGGTTCAACAGACTAGTGGAGTTTTATTTTTGAAAAGAACAGCAAAGATGGAACACCACATATGATGTTAACTCATCTTAAGTAGCAGTTCCCAAGTTGAACATCAAAAACTTAAAAAAATAAAGGGTTAATTTCTATTTTCGCATTTTATGCTTCAGGTAAACTCATCTAGTTTTTAATATAAATGTTCCACAGACTCATAATTTTAAACTTACTAAAGCGTGTGCCATTTCATGAATGAAGGTGGAAATTGTAGCACGAATTTCACCTGTTGATCCAGACAACTGATTTGGACACATGTTTACATAACCTGCAACAGGCCTGAAATAAATAACTTACGCTTAGTATTACATTTAGTTTAATAGATATCTGAGAAATCTTACTTAAAGTGCAATTTTGAAAACAAAATTTATTACTATTACTTTTTTTTTACTGTTAGATTATTGTTGTATATTATTGTTCCCTTGGGTTCCTAGTGGAACATAGGGCTTCAAATGCACTTCTCCACTTGCTTCTGTCTTCTACTGTACTTTTCACCTGCATCCATCCATGTTAGTCCATACTCTTTCAACTCCTCTTCACACGATCTCCTCCATGTCACACTTGCCCCGACGTCCCACTCGCCACTTCCCTCTCTTTCGGCCAGGTTCCACTCGTGCAATGGCCTGACGCGCGCGCGATGTCATCCAGTGGCAGCCTCCTCAGTCGAGAGTGTCCAATCCATCTCAATCCACTTTCTCCTGCATATTTGTTGGTTGGCGATTGGTTCTTGTTTTGTTTGTTTGTTCCCATAGTTTCTCGTTGGTGATTCTTTCCTGCCCGGCCATCTGATCGTCAGTATAGAGCGAAGACAGTTGTTGATAAAGGTTTGCATGCAACAGGCTGTTGGAAATATTCTTTGTGACCCGCCAGCCAAGTTTCTGATCCGTATACAAGAACTGGCTGACTTGACGTTTGTATTGAAAATCCGACCGAATTTTGTTGTTAATGCTGAGTGTCGAAGATTTCCAGATTGGTTTCAGGTTGATGAATGTGTTTCACGCCTTCGCGATTCTCAATTTGACATCCTCGTCCGTTCCTCTTGTAGTTGAGATGGGTACTGTTAGATTTGTAATGTGAAATATCAAAATGAACAGTTGTCATTGTTTTAACTATGCACAGCTGACTGTATAATCTTACACATTCACTTGATCACATATTTTTCTGGTGTGTCAGGGAAACACGAATAAGTACCAGTTGCTTGAAGATTATTTGTGAGTTTGAGACTGGCATCTTTACAACGTCTTCTTGAAATTGAATCTATGAAGTGCATAAAGTTTCTCTATTCGTCTTCTGATAGTTCGAATAAAGTACATGTTTTTATTAATATGTTTCTTTCTATCTCTATTAATCGAGATTTGATTTTATCAATTACATTCAACATGTGATATTTCAGAGTACAATGACTAGGATGGATAAGAGTGAGATGATGATATTTCCAGAAATGCTTGAGATATTCTTTCTTTTATCGATACAGCTCTTTAGGAAATTGATTTTGTTGTTCGCTTTGGTTAGCTTGAAGGAAATCTAAAGAGAAATATCTAATTCTTTCACAGGGTTTTTGCTCAGTTTCAAAACACCACAAATACCTATCTTTGACAATCAAGTAACTTAATTCCAGAAACCAGTTCTGAGTAGTTACATCAGTTGTGTCACCCTCCTAATACTCAATAGTTTTACTAAAATGATTTTTCCCTGAATAGGAATAGAACTGTACAGCATCTGAAGATGATTTCGTCAACAACCAAAACTACGATTCGTTGAATTGTCTTTTATTTTCCTTATCACTCAATGGGTATTTCCAATCTTTTACATGACAGGTAAATTTGTCATCAAAAAGTCGTAAAACTTTATATAACCACAAGAAATAATAAGGGTTTCTCTCCCCTAAGATCAAGAATTGTTCATTTTGTAAATACAAACAAAAATAATTACAATTACATATAACAATGACATCGTGACATTATGATGAATTAGACTGTCCTCAGAAGAACTGCGAAAATCGCTCAAGAAAATATTTTCACTAAATTGTGTTGCATTCATCCAAGCACATGGAATAACTTACCAATAATGACGGTTTCCTGCGGATACAAATAGATGCCACTGACAGTACTAGGTTTTAAACTTTTTTCCTTGTTATGATATTTTGTAATCTGCTAGGTTTGACACACATAATCAGTATTTTCATGTTTTCCCATTTCAAGTGTAACACAAGGCTTCTAGCTTCGAAGTTCCAGTAAGGCTTAAGTTGTTTTATGGAATTGGATTGTTGGCATCACGTCTAAGATTATCCCTTTTCTAGGATTACCACCTACCGGTTAATAAACTAAGTGAGTTTTAAGAGTGTATCGGTTAAGAATCGAATCGGAACCTCTCAGGAGGCTGATGAGAATTCTGTCATTCAATCACCGATGCACTTATCTATAATAATTATGTAAATTCAAACATTTTGTGGAAGATTTATCATTACCACACATTTGGCAGATAGCCGATGTAATCCATCTATAAAACTACTTTTCTTTTATCTACCTCCATTTGGTTAGTACACAAATATAAAAGACCAACCCTTTTTACCTATCGGTACCAGATTCAAGTTGACAGGCTAGGGCATAAGCCAACAAATCATCAGCTTTACATGGATCCGTTGCAGAAGCATCGACAAAAACCAAATAACCGTTCGGTGGTATTCCAACGCCTCTTTCTCCTTGAATAGTTGGTTGACTACCATTGAGCTGTTTACATCCCTACAAGAATGCAGCATAAAGCACACAGAATAACACCATTTTATAGTTATTGTATAAGAAAAGTTGGATGTTACGAACAAATCAGAGCAGACTTACCTACTTTTGTTGTTCTCAACCAAGAAACGCTCCCTTGTTAAGAACGTTATGACTTAAAGCATCTCATATGACTAAGTTGTGACATTTAACTGTCTATGTGTTTTTTTACCCTATAAGTAAGATCCCTCAAATGCTGTAAAACGTGATATAAATTCAGATTACTCAAAATATAAGCATTTATTCTAACGGAATCTTACACTTATTGAATATTTATTTTACATATTTAAACCTAGGAAGCATCGTCTGAACTACAGGCGGTCGGAACTGACGATGACATCAAAGCAAGGATCGAGAAGGCAAGGTAACTTTCCCTTAATCTCAAGTGTGAGTGGAGGTCAGCAGCACTCAGCATAAAAATGAAAATAAAATCAGAATCTTCAACTCCAATGTGAAGTCAATGCTACTATATAAATCAGAGGCTTGGCCAGCGCGTCACGATAGGCACTTCGAACAAACTACAGACCTTCATCAACAGCTGTCTTGGCTCAATACTTCGCTCAAGGTCAGATGGCCGGCCAGAAAAGATCACCAACAGGGATCTCTGGGAACGAGAAAACCAACCAGGAACCGATTGTGCAACAAATACGCTGAGGAAACCATCAAGTGACATCACTAGACAAGCCCTCAAGTGGAATCCGAAAGGGAAGCGGCAAGTTAGTCGTTGGTGCAAGGGTGACTTGGAGGAGGTCATGTGAAGAAGAGATGAAAGCATGTGGGCAGACTTGGAGCCAGGTGAGAACTCTAGCAGAGAACCGAATGCAACGGAGACGCGCAGGTGAAACCCTGTGTTCCTCTGTGAATTAAAGGGAACTAATAATAATATTTAAACATATACCTTATAAATTATAGACATAGCAGAAGGATACAGTAGAATTTGGTAGCAGTTGTTTATTTTCCAAATAATAAAGTGATAAATTAAATACAGAAACCTTAAACTGGAATTTTCACTTGCTGATTTCTTCCTGTTCTACTTCTTTTGTCTCACTTTCATGATTTCTAAATTGCTTCGCGAAGATCTATAAATCCCCTTTTCATTACTTCACCCATCGCCCTGTTATTCAACATTTCTGCAGAAGGCAACAATCATAACATACTACTTATAAATTCTTGCCAGTAGCACGCGTGAAATAGACACAATAAAGTGATAAACACTTAATAATTTAAGAATGTAAGGAACACAAGAAACACATGCAGAATGAATTGCCTTGGAATGCACATAAAGATGAGAAAACCACAGCAATATCTACACTGGTTTCTATCTCTGATGTGTCACACGGTTATGATACTTCAGCCAGGAAGTTATTTTTCATTAAGAGATGTCAATGAATTGCAACACCAGCTGAAATCCATTAGGTTAAATGTTTTGCGGTTTTATAACAACCTTATCGTTTTTCAGATACTCACCATTGCACCTCAGAATTACTTTAGTCATTTGGCCAATGGTTTCAGTTAGTCCTATATAGACAATATGGATCAGTCCTAATGGTCAGTTAGACATCACTAGCTTGAAAACACCAGGTGTTAGCGGAAAAGTGTACAAGTGTGTTCAACAAACCGCCGTAAACTCGACCTCTGATCGTCAGATAAACATCACAGCTGCCACAAAGGTGATTTGTCCAATCGCAAACTAGTGATCTTCTTTATGTGGTTTACAACTTACGGCATCAGACTTTCAGCGATTCTCGCACAACTCGCCATATGCAGGAATTTTTCGAGTTTTTTTCAGTGGTTCAGCTCCGAAGATGTTGGCAATCGCATTCAACTAACAGTCTTCTTTTAACCGTTGTGAGAAGTCCTATGTTCAGGCAATTGTCACAAAAATCATGCAAACTCTGCTTAAGGGCACGCATATAATGCAACCTGTGAAGGTAAAATAAATGTGAGTATTTAGGTCGGACAGGTGAAATGCAGTTTCAGCTATTATAATTAATCGTTCCTTATTTTTCATGCGGTAGGAAACCGTTCAGTCTACAGCAGCATTTGAAAACTTGGCCTCAACACTCAGTGACTTTACAAATGTAAAAGATGGTACCGAATAAATAAAAAAAATGTTAAAAAGAAACTAAAAATGTATAGAAAACACCTACATTGAGATAAGTATTTGGTATAGGCTCCGTAAAACAACGCGTAACACTATCACAGCCTTTATTGCAGTACATACCAATAGTCCCATTCGGCCATCTGATGTAAGAAACCTGTGAGTCGAGGCATTGTCTAATAATAAAACAAAAATAAATTTTCACGCGTTTTGTTTATCATTTATTTAGGGCATTTTAAATCAAATTCTCAATTTACACAATTCCAGGTGATTACTTTGCAAACTAAAATTATTGCGATGAAAACATGCGATCTGCTTGATACCATAATTGGTTTAAAAAAATTAATTTTAAATGTATAAAACTGTGTACTACTAATTGGCTGATATGAGTAGTGGTTTACTAATGACAACACTGGACTGGAGTTTCACTCGTTTGAGGCCAAGATCCTCGGCGGTGTACTTGATTTGACTCAGTTCACACAGCCGAATCAGTTCAAGCCACCCAATTTCTGACCAACTACTTGACCGCAGTTCTATGCATAAAAATTGTTTCCATAACCTGAAAGTTTGTACTTATATTCATCATTATATATTTTTTCAAAACTTTATTTCTATATAGACGCTTTTATGTTAAGTACATTGGATCAAATTACACTAGAACAAGAAATGCTCACAGGGTATGATCTTTAAACAAAACCTATTAATCAATGATGTAGTTATAAAAGTGTCACCTTAACAAGCAATATTATTATCCATATTTTACAAAACTTGAAAGATTTTCAACTCATCGAATGTTTATATCACCAATTTTGAAAGTTAATTAATTATTTAATAAAGATATCTAACCTTTCGAGTAAAATATTCCCTGTAGGCATCTTTTTAACACTTAACGTTTTTTCCCAAAATGTGAGTGATGGTAAGACAATATTTGTCTGTAAATTTGAAAAAGGGTTTAGATTAATTAGAGATAGAAAAAACTTTGTAACAGTTAATCATACTGTAGATTTGATAAACATTAATAATTTGGCTAAAACTGCCACTTGTGCGTCGGTGGCACAGCGGTTAGGACTCTCGCCCACCATGCACATGGTCCGTGATTCAATCCCCTGCCAACGCACACATGATATCTATGGTCCCCCGTTCAAAACTTGGGCTGCCGATATCACATGCTGAAAATTCCATACCTTTACTAAAACAAATACGGTGTGGAATTAAGGTGTAATCAAAACACTAAGAAAAAAATCATAGTGAATATCTACTCGGCATTCTGAACGATAGGCGCGAAAGTAGAATTTTACGTGGGAGCCTGGTTATTCACTGGGATTCAGTTTCACTCTACCTGACAAATCCCAAACCTGTAACCAATGAAACCCCTGCACATCAACACTTGAAAATAATGTCTCAAATAAGTGGAAAGGCCCATCTTGGATTGCACTGATAGTCATAATCAACAAAATAAATACTAATTTGTTGTCAGAATGTACTGTACTTGACTCGTCGACACGATCAGCACACAGATGACAGAAAACTTGAAGGTTTTGTTTAGGAAAATATTGTTTACACTTGTTTTAAAGCCATACATATGCTCGCTATAAAACGACAAAATGCCATTATTAAAAGATTTAAAAATAATAGAGAATATTTATAGCTTAGGTTGATAATTTGCAAATAGTTTTGTTCTCTGAGCTGGTCAGTTTAACTGCGGAGCTTTCGTCGCCCTTCTCGACAACATCTGTATTGATCAGTACAGATGTAAATCGACTAGCAGTCAAGAAGATGGTTGCCACAAGACGCAGTTCTATCATTCACAGAGAATTTAACTCAGGTCATATTATGCTAAAACTCGCTCTGAAGATGTTGTCCAGAAGGACAACGAAAGCTGCATAGTTAAACCGACCAGATAAGTGAACACATCTAACTCCAAATAAAAAACATTTCGTCAATAATGACAAAATGAGAATATCTAACTCCTTCTTGCTAACCATGGCTGCTTTTTAACTAAATTTCTGACAAACCAATCAACGACATCGTGAGAAAAACAGCCTGTGTGAAGCGATGTATACATATTAAAATTACAGTAAACTTATTAACAACAGTTTAAACGTATGCGATAAAAAACGTTACATAACGTTTCTAAGATGATATAAGACTTATCATGATGATGCTTACTCAAGGCAAAATGGTACTCTTTCTCATATGTACGAAAAAATGTCTAAACACTTTAAAATATGTAGAAATAAAAATTAGATTCATACTCCACATGTTCTAAAAATCAGTTTAAACAAATTGTTCTCTTTTTTATGAATAAATTTCACACAATACTTAGTACATAAATTAAATGAATTTTTCAAAAATTTAAATTAGGCATTCACAAGATAAATATATACACGGAGATGATATCGTGTTGTATTCTGTCTAGAATCGCATTATAACTAGTAAAGTTACCATGGTTGACATATTGATTTTATAACAAGACATTCATAAATGTTCTTGGTGAATAACAACGCTGAGTTTTTCTTCGGGTTTTCTCTGACTTAATGGCCAGCTGGGAACAAGTTCTCCCAGGTGACTGTGAAAAATTCGGCTGGTCCTACATCTATGTGTTATGGAAACACATGTGTTGAAAATGATTCTTGTTCTATTCAAACACAAACTTGGAACACGAAAGGCACCAAGAGGTACGCCACACAACATTTCATAGTTTTTACGAGGGCTAGATTACTGCTCAGATGCTTTTAGAGAAACAATTGGTTTTCTTAGGGAGCTACTTTCGAGGACTTTGACTTGAAGTCTTATCCACAAGGCAACAGGGCACCGTCAGGAGCTGCATTCTCATGGTCTTCGGTGAATAAAGCAGGTTCATACGCCATTTCGATTCTGAAGCTAATGTTCACCGGAGATTTGAAATTGGGGTTCCTCAGCTCCGCTGTAGAGAACAGCATATCCAGTAATCTGGTGGTAAGAGCCAAATGTTGGTATTTTCCCTTTTACTTTTGTGAGGAATATCTTCTTCACATGAAGACGAGTTGAAAATCAACGCTAATATTTATAATAGACACAAATTAAAAGCACTCAGTATGGCAGGACTAGGTTATACGAAGCAATCTGCTTAATATTGCGGTGACTTTTAGAAATCCGAAATGACTGATTGCACGCATGAAACAGTAAAATTAGACAAAGACATAATGCTGACAGACTGCTAAGGCAATGAACAACTAAATTAGTAACTGCCTTGTCCACCAATTTTGATGAGTTCAGTTTTGAGGCACTGTTTTTCACCGCACTTCTATTCATTGTTCTAACTGCTCCATGGCTTTCAGTTGACAGTGTTCTCAAACAATGTATCCTCAGTCATGTGATTCATGTTTTTTTTCGCTTCACGCTTTTCCGACCAAGTCACCAGCTTTTTCGAAGTGAACACCGAAATGTTTGACAAGCTTTAAGGTGGAATTATGTGCTAGATAGCTCTAAATATCTGCAAATTTGTTGAGAAGCGTCTATTTTAAAGAAAAATATGGTAGATAGCAACGGATTCGCTGTACATTGGGAATACATCTAGTTTGCATTTACATAAGTAGAATGTAATTATGCTTATCTTAAGCAACTTGAGGCTGTAATTAAACAAATACAACAATCTACAGTTTTGATAATGAATTATTTAAATGATCCAATGTTTTATTCCATTCAAGAATAGTTTTTTCATTCTGTACACATCACTTTTAGGATCAGCAAAGTGTAATTTATAGTTCAGAAGTTTGTTTGTCTAGACTTGTTCAACCTGTTGACGAAATCTGTGGCCTGATAAGCGTCTAACAATTACATTTTCTTAAAAATTATGATAAAAGTGTTACATGGTTATATATGCCTGGGTAGAAACATATGCTTTTGTGCATCGGTGGTTCAGTCGTAGAATGCTCGTAAATTACTCACGTGGACCTGTACAATTCCTGGTTGATCCAGTGCTAAATCTTGCTTTTCCTGTGGTAAGCCAGGCAAAAAGGGGGAGTTAGTTGTACGTAAAATTTAGTCTTCAAACCAAAGAAGTTCCCTTACAGTTCTGTCAGGGATATTGACTGAGTTACTGTAGGATATTTTTGATTGGACACTAATTAGCAACTAGTGTAATGTGTATAGCCCTTTGTTTGGTGTAGACTGAATTCTATCAGTCAAGTTTGCAATGTGGTCACCATTCTAAGTAGCTTGCCATCACAGTGCGCTGTGAATTGTTGGCATTAGGTGGTTGGAGGCAATCGGCAGGAACTGATAGACTGACTGATAGAATTTAGTCTACATCGAAGATTGGACTAGACACATTACACTGGTTACTGACTAGTGTCCAATCGTAAATATGCAATACAGTTCTACAGGAAGTCGACTGCGAGCCTGGATAGCTCCTTGGTAACGTGTCTAACAGCAGCACTGGGTGAGGTGGGTTTTAATTTCAGAAGGGATATGAGAACTCTAGAGGTTACGGATACGCCTTGCTGATGAGTGCCAACTAGCAGAAAACCTAGTTTCAAGGCTTCCTGCCAACTGCCTCCAACCATCTAATTGCAGTAGGATCATATTACAAACGTGCCATCTCTCAAAACAGCGTTCACTTTGCAAATTCCACTACTCATCAATACTTTTAGCTCCCAAGACCCCATTGAGACATCATATATTCACGTATGTGCTGGACGACAGAAATCAGTCAAATACAACTCAAATATTAAAACTAACTTTTATGCACCATGTCATGTAATATAAAGTGATCAGGTTAAAGTAAGTAGAATTAAGGTAACTTTTTCCAGGTTCACTTTTCAGAGGAATATCTGAACCGCTTGGAAAAATTTCCTCTCAATTTATTATGAATAAACACACCCTTAACTTCATCTTTTTCTGGATAAATCTTGGAGGATATCCATTCTCTATGAGGAATTGTCTGGCTGCACAAAGAATGAATATCCTCCAAGATTTATCCAGAAAAACATGGAGTTAAGGGAAAAGCCTGAAAGAATCCAGACGGTGCTGGAGAAAGTGATATTCAAGAGTGTTGAATTTAAGGGTGATACCATAGCTGAGACCCTGAAGAATCGATTATGCAGATCACTGATGAAAGCTTTCTTTATGGCTGAGCTACGTATCAATTTCTATTGGCGACAAATGATCAACGGATGTGTGATGGATGAACTGCCGCTTTGGGCCACCTCAATGTGTGTGTCCTGAAGAATTGCTTATTACCAATAATTCAGACTGTAACTTCTTTTTGAGGATAGCACTAAAAATGTTGTCTGGAAGAACAATGAAGTCTTCCCGGTTGAGCCATACAGCTCAGATAATATAAAAAAATCCAAAACCTTAAAAACCACACTTATCATATGATTTCAGAGCTGTTGCATCGCCATTATTTTCCTTCATATAAACATAAATACCTTCCAAAAGGTACGAAATTTTTTCAACTTCGGGTGTTCAATGAATTCACACACTTAATGGGACTTTTCAATGAAGGCCACAAAGTGTATGGTTATCAACTAATACAAAATGATAACCCAAATAAAACAAATAGAGGGCGTGCGAATGTCTTCGAATACGTAGTTTGTATGGATATGGTTGAAGTCAGAGTGGCGTTTCTTACTAATCCATTAGAATCGGGGAGGTTAGCAAATCCAAGGAGTAGCCGACTTATGCTCCGTTGCATTACACAGCACATCAGGAATTATTCTTAATACTGTCCAGAAACATACCAATCATGATACTATCTAATCATCAGACTGAAATCCACTGACCTACTGTTTATAACCAATGTTGGCGATCTCTATAGGGCCACTGTCTCCCTTTGACATTAGTCAGTATCTGTTATCACATGCATATTTAACATTTAATAATAACTATTGATAAGTCAACTTTAAAAAGGAGACAGTTTTCTTCTTTCAGAAGATTCGGAAAGACGTGTGACAGCACGAAAATTATCTGTCTGAATAAGTTCCCTAAAGGTATGTGTGAACTTCAGTTACAAGACAGTCGTCATTTTAACATCTAAAAATGCATTGACTAAGCATGATACTAACAAATTCTGGTTAAAATAGCAAGATATTAAAAAAGGAACGAAGTTACTGTCTTAAATTTAGGTGAAACAAAACTCTTTAAAATACGTACGTAATGTATTATTACTTAAATAACTTTAATCCCTGTAGTATCTAGTAGACACACCCTTTGAAAACTTCTAATCCTTTTGATTACAGTACAGTCGTATATGTCGTAACATGATAAAACGTGAGTGGGTGTCACAGCAGTAGAATGCTGACCAACCATGCAAGTGGTCCGGGGTTCGAGTCCCGACCGACGTACTCCTTTACCTCACTAAGCCAGTAATAAGACTGGACATGAGGCTAGCAACCGAATCCCGTAAAAATAAATACTACTGCTACCGAAGCTTCAACCCTCTAGCCTGAAACCTTATATCCCAGTGCAAACGTAAAGGAACATAAACATCAACATGATAAAACACACTTTTAGCTCAAAGTGAAAATGATATATTTCAAAATATATTGTTGCAGTTAATCTATCTAAAGGCATTTTTTCACTGCTTTTACTTTGCTCCTAGTGGTACAGGTGTGTGGTAAGAAATTCTTGTGATTTATTACAAAAATTGAATTCACAGAGAGAGAATAGAGTCTTTTCTGATGTCGGCCGATTTAAACGCTAGATAAATGTTTTGTCATTCGTCGTGATAAAGGTTTTGTTACGCTGTTCAACAAAAGTGTACATGTCCTTCTGCCAACAGATGAAGATAGTGGGTTGAAAAGTTATTTGAATAGTGTGGATAAAGATCTCCCTAATAATCCTTGAACGCCTAAATATCTCAGTACACAAAAGTTGGTGCTCTGTCTTGTCTTCCCTTCATTTTATGCCTCTACACCAAAAGCTAAAATAATGAGTGAAAACAAAGTGTTTCGCGCATTCATTTCTACCACTTTTCTCCTAAACAAAATCACATATGAAGAAGATAGAAAAACAACTTAGCAGGCTTTAGTTTTTAAGCAAATGTCCATCGACATAATTGACTGGCCTGGTTATAATCAGTAGTCTAGAATTGTGAGTGGTGAAATTCGTTGTAATCAAACTACATAAGATAGTGTTTTCTGAAGCAATAGATTTGCTTTCTCGCCAAGCCTCGTAAGGATTAAATAAGAGCACACATTTTAAAACCCGTGCGCAGTTTTACAAACTATATCAGTGATTAATAGTTGATCCAAATTAAAATTACACAACAGATAAAAAGGTTTTATTCCTGTATATTTATGAACAGAATGTATCCGACTACTTTACCAAAAATGTAAAATATCAACTAAAGAAGCTAGTGACTGTAGAAGTGAACACCTAGGAAATGTAACAATACAACCCACCATAGGGATAATTATGTATCAAATCATCTTATTATCTGAAAGAGAACCACAAGCAGTTTCCGCAGATAGGCAGGATTATAGGAAAAGCTAAAAGCGCACTAGTGAAGCTTATAATATGTAGCATTGTGTTGGTTCTATTTTGCTCCTTACATATTCATAAGTATCACACTGAAATTCAAAAAGTTGCTTGTTATTACATTTTGGAACTCCTCCTAAATCACTGATGGAAACTTCAGTGAAAAAACACACCTCAGAAGAGGCCATTGAAATATTTTTCAAGTAAATCTGAAAGCAGGTTCAAAAAAGCCAAGATTACAACTAGGGGACAGCAGACACACTAATCATAAATAAAATCCACATTTGATCGCCTTGTTTCTACTCTCCACAGATAACTGATCGAGCCACTATGAGCAATAATATCTTTTATGACTGCACAGATTTAAAGGATATTTTATACATCAGTAGCTCTTAAAATCGGAAAGCTGCAGAATTCTACAGCCGAGAAACTAACAACCTAGCATCTCTCATTGGATGATTAAGCTAAAATTATCCTAAAAGAATGTCGTCAAAATAACTGACTTTCACTAATTTTTTGTGTTCGCATTCGTAAATAAACACGATAAAGCAGATATTCTTACACAAAATAGGAAAACGATTGGTAAGCACGATGCTTTTCTCAACAGTTGGTGACAACTTCACTTTCAAATACTAAAAATAAAGGACAGCTAAAACCTTCAAGAATTATCGTCTTAAAAAGTTTACCAATAAACGTTTGATCAAACAACTTTTTTCACTTGATAAACCACAAATAAGAAACCGTTTGTATTTAATGAACTACAAGATTTCCATCTCTGACATCTCAACACTTCCAGTTATCACTGTAGTTTGTTCTTGAATTTCATGCAACAAAAATCCGGTTAACCTGCCTTTTTAGGTAGTACAATTCAGAAGTATTTTGGAACTGACTAACAGATACCCTGCGATAAGCTAGTCTTCCGAAATTGTGGTGTCCTACACAGATGTTCTGCAATGCATTTGTCTCTGTTTTCAAACTTCGAATGAGCTACTCGCTTACCTGCATAAGCTTAAGACCTGATCTTAGATGTAACTTGAGCAGCTAAATTTGATTAGTGCATTCAAGAGTAAACAATGAGTTTGAAAGCTATTTGCTTCATATTCCGTGGATAAGAAGTAACAAATTTAGACAGCCCACACATATACGCGATACAGTTGTTAGATCGACAGAAAAATTCTTTTCGAACCCAACAGATGCAAAGCATTTCAAGACAACAACTTATTTTCGGAAAGCGAAATTCACATCTGGAAAACTATTTAAAATACATTATCACACTTTGATAGCTGTGAAACGCTTTAGAGCAGAAGTAAATTTTCAGACTTATCCCTACAAATAGTCCTGGTATTCATAGAATTGATCCAATTGAACATTAATATTCACAAAACTGTGAAAATTTTTTCGGTTGAATTATAGAAAGGAAGATAATGTTAAATGCATTTAGGCCCGCCCTACGCCAAAATAAGTGAAATGAAATTATGTATCTTAACAGGAAATTAAAAAATACTTGAAAGCGGTCAAAATAAAGAGACATATAGCGTAATAGTCCAAATACGACGTAGAACAAAGTTGTTACACTAAATTATACCTCCTTGTGATTCTACGTTTGTAAATGTTTACTAATATTCAAAGGTCATAATTTAAACACATAAAGACAGAACTACTGGCTCAACACTAAAATAGGCGTTACGTACCTTTACTTTATCAAAAAGGGCATGCTTTTGAAACGCTGTCGTATACTCAACAGAGAACTTCAACTTGCTATCCACTGTGCTTCTTCTTGTTCTAGATGAGAAAGAGGAAGATGCGTGCATCTTTACATTGTTTATGAAAACTGTAGAACTGGGAATCTTACTAATCTCACATTCCTAGGAATCCTGCAGACGTGTTCTGCATAACATGTAATGGCTGAATAAATAAGTATAACAGTGATTTTATGGAAATGCATTTCCAAACATTTGGAAATACGCGAAACTGTGTAAACTAGTACGACCTTCAAGAAGTGAATAGTAATTAAGCATACAAACAAAGCAATGTATATTGGACACTCATCATTCATGGGCTTTACAAACTAGTATCAAGCATTCTAATGTATCAGAATCGTCTTTTAGTCTTTGTGTTTCTTATTGGAGTAATGTATCGAAGTCTTGACTGTCACCTCGAAGCCTTCATATTGCAGCACATTTTGCAATCGAGCATATCTTTATCTTTTTTATCTTTTATTACAGCTTGATTCCATACCGTATTTTCGGTACAAGTATGGAATTTTCAGCATGTGATATCGGTAGCCCAAATTTTGCAGGCCGACCATAGATATCAGGTGTGCGTCAGTGGGGGATCGAACTCCGGACCATGTACATGATCGGCTACAGTCCTAACCGCTGTGCTATGTATACACAACTACAATGCATCCCATTTGGACTTAGAGTCTGTTTCTACTACAGTATCGAGTGCCAAGTAGGGAAATAACAAGACTATTCAGGCCTAAGCGTAAATTCTGGGAACTGTTTATCATACTTCTGACTTTTGAGGCAAGATTGCCGTACACCGTTACCAAAAGCAGGGCTCCTGAAGAACACAATTAATCCCAGATGAAGTTTGAAATGCATCTACTTCGAAATGCAACAACCTGATCCAAGAAGACGTTTTCATACATGAACCTCAGGAATAAAGCGCCAAGCAAAGTCCAAAACTCTACTGTTAACAACAATACAATCGAAGAGCAAAAAAAGCAGGATGCGATGGAATACTACTTCTCGAAAGTAATCACCCGAGAGTCATCACCCCTATCCCACAGTATCATCTAGTTGTGTCACAAGAATACAGTATAGATTTCGGTGACATCAGCCAAACCACTATATATGAATCACTATGTGAACTAGGCGCATGGCAATCATCTGAACCTGATCACCCTCACCCATAGATTCTCAAGTACCGGTAGTTCACATGGCCGTTTTATCTTTAATGAATAAAGTGTCCTACCACAAGTTGGAAGACGTCATGGTACCCCCCATCTATAAGGAAGGATCCAGATATTGTGATCTTAACTGTATGCCCATCAGTCACACCAACACCTTAACCAGGATGCCGAAAAAATTACCAAGATAGTCATAATAGGATATCTGGAAAATAACAATCTATTGCTCCTTGAATACGACGTGCTTTTTCCTCTCCAACCGGAAAATACCAATTCTGTGAATTATCCGTTTGGGAAACCTGATCTTCCTAGCCGGTGAATTTAATTCAACCATTACTTACATAGTAAATCTCTGTGTGGTAAGTCCAGCTGTCTCGAACTACTGCCAAAGCTTCAGGTGCTACTTTTGTAGCAGCATCTTCCTCACTCGTTCAGAGAAACAAGACTTGTTGGTCTACCACGTGATTGCCGTGAAGCCGATCATTCAGAAAGTACTAGGTAAAGTCGAAAACCTTTTCTTTTCCTTGCCTTACACTTTTTCAGTCTTATTCTTGCTCTTTTGGTTAGAAACTGTTGCTCTCTTAGACGTACATAGCATAATTTATAGTGATTGTTAATATGGTTGTTGAAAGCAGCCTTAAAAAAGCCACTAGAATACCGTACTCTGTAGTCACAAGGGCTTCAGCCAGGGAAGGAAAAAATCCAGGGATTTCAACCCCTTCCCGCATACCGATCCTAAAGACTCGTGTAGCTTTAGTCTGCCCTGATACAACGCCTGCATTGCCACAGTCTAGTACTGAAACGGCACAGGCAATACCAGAAGGACAGAATTCTACACCTGCATCAACTGTAGGCCAGTGTGTGAAACACATCAAGCCTAAAAGGAAACGTTCAAGACGTCATAAGACCTCGAAGGCGTCATCAAGGAAAGGGGATGAATGCCAGGCGTGCAGCATCACAGTTTCTAAAACTGATTCAGCGTTTGAATGTAATTTTTGCAAACGATGGGTGCACTGCCGTTGTGACAAAGAAGTACCGAAAGCATACTATGAGTTTATGAGAAATAACCCATGCCCATGGTTTTGGTACGTGTGTCCACTTTGTCGCCCTGGCATAGTCCCACAAAGCGTGTCTGCGGATAGCAGAAATAACATGCTCTTGTGCCCCAACACAGTATCATGCAGCTCCCCCCTGCTAAACTCGCACTGCCGAAACTGGTCAAAGACTTAAAGAAGGACACACCAGCCCTACTGACTGGAAATGCCAATTCTCACAAGGTGAAGATTAGCAAGGTTCCATCCACATCAAGGGAGGGCAAAATTACAAAGGCACCACTTGCATCCACTAGCAAGCCTGGCAACACAAAAAAGGCTGTCCAGGTACCGACGAAGCCTAATGTTGCTAATGATGCAAAGGACTGCAAGAAGCCGAAGGCAAAACCTAAGTCTGAGGGTAGTCGGTCTAACTCTCTCATCCTCTTTAACGTACCTGTGAGCACGGATAGCTTGCTCGAACAACGGGCCCTGTTTGATCAGGAACAGTGGTCCAACCTGTGCGGCAAACTAGGTCTGAACATTAGTTCAGCAAAACTGTGCAGACTGTACAGGGGTGTCCACACGCCTCAGGGTAAGCCACCCCCATTACGGGTTACACTGGACTCTGCCGAAGAGGCCGAAAAAGTACTGTTAATGGCTCAGGTACTAGCCCTGGACAGAAGTTCTAACATAAGAGCGCGGCAAGATAGACCATGGGCCGTCAGAAATATGGCGAGGGAGTCACCGGAACTGATGCCTTCCACCTCTATGGTGGTACACGGTGTTCCGGAGCTGGAAACCGGCACTGCTTGTGAAAAACACATGCACGACGTACAACAATGGAGATGGCTGTCATCTCAGATGGCCCCTGGCGCTTCTGGAGCCATCTCCATTTTCCGACTACCTCGTCCCGCTCATCTAACATTGATTAACTCTCCAAAGCTGCTGTGTGTCACATTCAACTCCCCGGAGCAGTTGTCCATATCACTTCAACGGTGGTATGAGACCAAGGGAAAAATTGGAGGACACATCCGATGCTGTGAAAGCAGACCCAGAAATATAAGGAGGCAGCAAACTGAGGCTTTAATACGACCCCAAGCTTCGGTGACACTAGAGCGATGCAGCTCTGAGAATAATAGTCTGTGTCTCCCAAGTGTCCTGCCTAAATCCATTGAAAAAAACTACAACGGGCCGGTTCTATCGGAATCGGCCAACTAGTTCCAACATCAAGTCCCCCACCAGCAGACGGTTTCACGTCAACTACCCCACAACACTCTGAGGTTGTTAGACTCACTGTCAGTTGCCTATATAGCAATGTGAGGGGGCTGAGAGGGAAAGTAGGTGAACTCCGAAATCTCCAAGCACACCTTCAACTGAAAATAATCATTCTTACTGAAACGTGGCTAAACCCCACTATCGCCGACAATGAAATCAGTATAGGTGATATGGTACTGGTCAGGAGAGACAGGGATAATAAGGAAGGAGGGGGAGTTGCTATATACTTTGATAGGCAACTTAAATGTGTGCGCGCAACGGACCCACCACTTATCGAACTCCCAGACTCCATATGGTGTCATTTCACCGTAGGCCACACCAAGCACTTACTGGGTGGCATCTACCGATCTCCCACCTGTGGGGCAGAGCACAATCAGCTACTGCTCAGCACTATCACAGGAATACGAGATTTGGGCTACGACCAAATCACCATAGCTGGAGATTTCAATGCTCCATCACTGAACCTTGGCTCCGGGTGTGCTAAGGGAAAATTTGGCCGAAACCTACTGCAAACTATTCGAAACACGGGACTGACTGAGAATGTTGGAGACGACACTAGGTGGGGCCCTAGTGGAAAGTCATCAAAACTAGATTATATTCTAACTAGTGACCAGCTACTCGTCGAAAAGGTCCAGATCATGACTCCTCTGGGAAGCAGTGACCATGCAGTCATAGGTTTCGATCTTGTCCTCCGTGAGCGTTTGCAATGGGATGTTACGCGACCATGTCTGTGCTACAGCAAGGCTGACTATGCTGAAATGCGGAGGCTCTTGTCCGACGCAGACTGGCCCTTAGCATGGGACGACCTATCTGTGGATGAACACTGGGAAGTGGTAAAAAAGATTATCCATGCAGCAATCTCGGATACCGTCCCTTTAGTCACAACACAGCCTAAGAGAAAGACGTCATGGTTGAAGAGAGGCACGCAACGTATTCTGCAAGCAAAGCGGAGGGCTTGGTTTACGTGGCGTGTATCTAAGAGTCAGACCGACCATGATGCATACCTCGAACTCAGGAACCGGTGTAATGCAAGAGTTAGGAGGGACAGAAGGTCATTCCAGGCTAACCTTGCTAAAAAACTCCTATCAAACCCTAAAAACTTGTACCGATTCATGTCGGAAAGAAAACCGACAAACCAAGGGGCATGCGCCTTAGTAGGCCCAAACGGTCAATATCTCACTAGTCTGGAGATGGCTGAAACATTCAGTTCAGCCTTCGCTAAACAGCTAAACAGCAATGTGGATATTACAGTTACGGACCAAAATGGTGGCACCACTATTTCAGAGGAGGAAGACCTAGCGACTACTCCCCAAATAAACCCCGCAATAGTACTAAGGAAGCTACAGCGACTCATACCTGGGAAGTCCCCAGGTTGTGATGACATCAGGCCATCTGTTCTGAAACAGTGCGCCGAGGCTCTCTGTAGACCCCTGTGCGACTTGTTCCAACACTCAATGGATTCGGGGACCCTGCCAAGGGAGTGGAAAAGAGCCATCCTTTCTCCAATCTTCAAGGGTGGGGACAGGCAAAACGCTGCTAGCTATAGACCAGTAGCTCTACTCCCAGTGGTATCAAAAGTACTGGAAAGTATTATTGACGACCACATCAGGGAATATTTCGATAGGACTAATATACTGCATGAAGCCCAACATGGTTTCAGAAAAGGCAGATCCTGCGTCACTAACCTACTGTCAGCTTGGGACGACTGGACATCATGCTGGG